CCCTAAATTATTTACTGGTTTCCCCTTTACTCCGAAAAAATTTACTGGTTTACCACTTACTCCGTGTTTCAAACGTGGGGGGGGGAATTCCCCCCCCCCCTAATCGAAAACTCTGCTCGAGTCCGAGTCCTTCAAAAAAGTCTCCAGTCCGAATTCAAGTCCGCCAAAAAATCTACCAGTCTAGACTCGTCCATGACTGTAACGCACATGCAGGCCCTTCCCTCAGAATAAAAGACCGCTAGTCTTCCAGTTTGTCTATCAAACCATGAATTAAAAAGTGGTCTTCTATTTGGGTTATTCTTTTTATTGCTCTTTACAGTAGGCAACATATACATGAGTTACAAGTATACACTTATTTAATGTACACTTACTCAAAAAAGTAGTGATCTTTTAATAAAGGTGATCTATTATTTTGGCTTTTACGCCGTAAGCTTCAGACTGGTGTTTTAAGTAGGGATGGTCTTTTATTCTGAGAAGGGGCTTATTGTATTCAATTCATTTTATTTCTACAGCATTTGTTCCTAGACTATATTTTAATATGTCAAACATGCACTTGTTCATTTAGATGTGAAAATTTTATTATTATTACTTCAGTTTGTTAATTTATCAAAGAAAAAAAGAATCACAAAGACAATATACGATGGAAAACGATGGTAATTAAAAATACTGTTAAAAGTGCCATGATAATTAGACATGGACGTATAAGAAAGACAAATACTGCGCATACAAGATACAGTAAAAGTAGGCGAAATGCTTCTACTGTGTACAAGACATGAGGATGATTAATAATTACAAAAGTGTATGGATTTATTTCAAATAATTAGAAGAGGAAATGAAAACAAAATTATGATTGGTCAGATTAATCATTTGATCAATTAATGAGTTCACAAACAAATCGAACAGCTGATACGAACATGGTCCAGTTATAAGATTCTTCATTAGTTAAACGAGAAGAATGTAAATCTTGAACGTACCTAGAGTAATGATAAAACAAAAAGAATAAAAATGATTCGGCTTGGAGACTGACCACCTACTGTAAATTCGACAATAAACTTGGCGGATTAGCTTTGATAATGACGAATATTAATATTGGAATTGTATCATCGGCACCAGCCGCTGAGTTTGATGATAAACGAATTAGATTTTGAATAATACGAATAGAGCGCTGAACACAACCCACTTTATCACGTGGAGTCTAAACAACAAATAGATGAAAGAAATAAAGAAGAAAAGAAAAGCTGTAAATTTCATACTTTATATGCGTTGATCAAGATCAATTCAGCTTGAGCTGATGGCCATGGACATTCTCGTTGAAATACTTTTTGTATTCGTAGTTTTGGATGATTTGGACCAATTTCTTCGGCTAAACGTGTTATATGAGTACTAAACACTCTGAAATAGACAAAATAAAGTTGATGTGTACAAGTTAAATAATGAAGAATTGTTCGTAGAAGTCTCCCCGTCGACAAAAAGGTAATTTTGAGATTTATACATGATTGAATAGCTCAAAACATATACACTCAGAATCTGTATCGTTTTCTGTCACAGAGATAAACTTTCATGGTTTCAGAGGAAGTTGGTTTGAAAATCTCGAAAAATAAAATATTTGATTTCTAGTTTTTCCTACGATACTTACGCAATTAAACTATTTTCACAAACATATAGATTGGTAGGGTGACATTTCCTAGTCAAAATGAGACGTAGCGCAACTCTGTGTAAGGATCTGTTGAAAAGTTAAAAGCTCTGAACTGCACTAACAATCGTACGGCGTTTTTCTCAAAATTGTTTTTTAAAAAAAAATTTTTTTGTCTCCAAGTCTTACGGTTTAGGTATTTTCCAGAGATCAAGGTTCGAAAAGGACTCCGAAGTATTTCGCAAAACTTTTTAATATACTTCAGGCTGGAGAGTTTAGCTACATGGGCTAACCGGCGCCGATTTTTCAATTAGGTCTTTGTTCGTTTTGTAGACAATCAATAACCTTAGAAAAGCCTAAAAATGCTTCCTAGTTTTCTAATCCTCAATTTAACAAAAAACTGAGACCTAATTGAAAAATCGGCGCCGGTTAGTCCATGTAGCTAGGTGTCTAGTTTAAAATAAAACAAACCCGAACTCTCTAGCTTGAAGTATATTAAAAAATTTTGGGAAATACGTCAGGTGTAACTCACATGCAGAGAAAACGCTGTATTAAACGCTGTATAAAATGCTCAATTTTAGGGCTTTTAGGAAAATGCCTGTAACTTTTTAATGCAAGATTATACAGAGTTGTGCGACGTCTTATTTTGATCAGAAAAGTTGGCTTGACAATCAACGCGTTGAAAAAGAAATATAAATGCATAAGTGTCCAGGAAAAAACTATTATTTGAAGATCCGGTTCTTCGGAGGTCTTAGAAAACTTGCTCGAAAGCCGCGAAAAATCACTTCTGTAACCGAAAGCGATACAGATTCTGAAAGTAGACACTTCAGGCTATCTTTCCATGTGCTTATCTCAGAATGGATTTTTTGTCCGAGGATCATCATCTCTGAGGGAGCGGACCCTTAAAAAATTTGCAAAGTCCGGCTCTGTTGAGTCACAGCCACAAGTCTTCTTATCATTTTTAAGACCAACGCGAGTCTTTTGATTAGAGGACGCTTAGATTAGAGGAGAAATGTGGAAAATGTCAACATCTATTTTTTACCACTGACGCAAGTGAAAACTCCAGTTTAAAGCTTAAATGCTTATTCCATCTAAATTGGGTAAGACTAACATTCTGCGAAAATTTTGGAAGAAACCGGTTTTTGTATCGCAAACAGATTTCTGTCACGGGAAACGCTTAAAACAAGCCTACTGATCGCGTTGTACGTCGACCTGACCATTTGGATAGAGAGCTTGAGTATAAATTTTCGACATAACCATTCGTTCAATAGCGGTCTGTGCCATTTGAATTTGTTCTGGAGATGCAGCTAGAAAAACAAATCATTTTTAAGTTGAGAGATCTCAATGACAGCACACTGAATTACCCTTCAAGTTAATATCAGATAACAATTCTCTATTACATTTATCCAAAAACACTTCAACAAGATGCATTTTTTCATCTCCAATTGATAACTGTTGAAAGTGTTCAATAAATTCAACTAAATGACGTTCATGTACGTCACTATCCAAATATAATTTTGATAAATAGTTGATTAAATGTTGTTTACATAGTTCTTGATCTCTGCAATGACAAAAAAACACCAGAAATTATAGATAATTTATTTATGTCGCAGTAGAAATTAAAATTTAGAAAAAAAAGTAGAGAAAAAATTCAACTACCCCACCCAATAGAAGACCACCTAGTCAATTTAAAATTCTCCTACGGTAGAGATTAAAACTTCAATTTCTACTAGTGCAATTTAAATCGCTTATTTTAGTTTCCCCTAGTAGAAAATGAAATTGTAATTTCAACTGCGACATTTACATGCTTTAAATGTATTAAGGCCCTGCTCACATCAGAAATGACAATTTTAAAAAAAAATTCGATTTTGAGAAAAAGACATGGTCTGACAGTCCAAAGTGTCCTCTTCCGAATACACTAAATCTTAAGTCCTCAATGGCTCGACTTAAGGGTTTTTCAGCAAGGTCTATGAAAATTCTACGGATAAAAGCACGAATTGAAAATAAAATAAAACCGGTGAAGCTAAGTTACACTGACTTTCCTTAGTCCATCAAACGCTTAGTCCTTTGCCGTCAATATAACTAGCTTCAACGGTTTTATTTTATTTTGAATTCTTAAAAAAAACGTTCAGCAGTTCCTGTTCTTAGCAACGCGAACGGCTAACCGGTTATCGTTCCAAAGAACTGAACTGGAACTGTCCCACCCCTATTCGTGCCTTTGTAGGTCTTCGATCAAATCTCTAACAATACATTGACTACTAATATTTAATTATTAATGAACAAGTACTGTTTGTCTTGAAACTAACAAGAATAATGCAAGAAAAAAGTATTTTGCGCTTTTTTCAAAGTGTTTTTTTTCCTTTAGGGTGTTTCGCATTTGCATAAATTTTCCGTAGCATTACAGCAGGTCTCGCAGACGCTTAAATTGCAGTTAGCACATGTATCTAGAAGCTAACAGAGGCCAGTTTTGAAATTCTGGTCTAGTTTTTTATACTTCGTGAAATCACAACAGCTGTTTTTGTGTTTTTGACCTTGCCTTAGCCAGAACCTGTACAAAGCAATATATCTAAAATCCGGCATACTTAGATGTTGACATAGCCCCATTTTTTAATTTCTCCTTTACTGATCTTTGGTGCGTGGTAGAGCTTGAAAAATTTTAAACACTTGTAAGACAAATGGGCGTGGCCAGCTAACTCTGCTACTGCTAAGGAATTCCGTGACGGTTTTGTTCATTTTGTTGCGTCGATATATACCAAACTGAACGACGCAGAGAGTCATGAAACGTCTTAAATTGAAGAGAAAAGTCTTGTGAACATTTCAGGACGTATTTGCACACTAGAAAAGGCCTCTTTCTGAAGATCTGAATAAAACATTGAGTTCAACTTTTCGATTCTGAACAATTTAAATCCTTGAAAAGTAATACTCAATGTTTTATTAAGAGCTTCAGAAAGAGGCATTTTCTAGAATGCAGGTACGTCTTTAAATGTTCACAAGACTTTTTTCTCCAATTTAAGACGTCTCACGACTCTCTGCGTGGTTCTGTTTGGTATATACCGATACTACAAAAATGCAATTAGATCATGCTTGATGCATACAACTGAGGCAAATGTTTTTCAAACATGGCATTTCTCTGTAGCTCTCATATCTCTCTCTACTCATTTAAAGTAAAGTTTAGACATAAAGTCCGTGACATGCTATGTAATTACTATAGCCCGAAGAGAAATTGTGAAAGTCATTGCGGTTTTCAAAGCTTTCTGGCAATTCAACTGGAATTTTCATTACCATCGAAACCAAAACTCTTTTTCAGAAATCTACATTCTTATAAAAGTAAAAAACAAATAAAAAAGATGATCTTTCTCTGATGTATCGTTAACAAAAATTTCGGTATATGACGAAAGCCCTAAACCTAAAAACCAGTTTTGAGAAAAACACACAATAGGTTTTTATTCTGTCAGATGCGTTTTAATTGGGATATAGTTTGTTGATACTTTTCTACAGATTATAGACTACTGCGAATCGAATAGACACGTGCGGTATACGTTTATGCATATGTGAGCAAATTGTATTCTAAACCTCTCCAAAATCATGAATTTTGAATCTACACTGAATATATAATTTGTATGCGTATATGCTCACATATACGGCCTCACTTATCTTAAAAAATTCTTAATCTTACGCATTCAGAAACACTAACATCTTTTTAATAGAGCTTCTAGAAAATCACGTTACATTTTATGAAAAAACACTGTTCCAAAAAAATGCTTTTATGTATTTAGTTTCAGGTATACCTGAAATCTGAAAGTAAACACTTCAGGCCATCAGATCATTAAGTTTTCTCAAAATCAATAGTTTTAATGAAAGTTATCATTTCTGACTTGGAAGGTCCGTAATAAGATGGTAGTATGGTAATTATAGAATATGAATAATTGACAGTTAACTGTTTAACAAACGAGCTACCCTATATTAAATGTTTTTGATACTTATCCTATTCTAGACTTACCGTTGTATTCTCAGTAATAACTTTTCTTGATGTTGCATACTATTTAGTAAATTTTCAATATTTTTAACCAAATAAGCAATGTAAATTGTTCTCGATCGATAATCATTACCCATTGATCTCACAATCTCTTTACATTCTGTTTCCGAAAATTGTTGAATAAATCGAAGTGTTTCATACAATTGTGTTTGTAAATCTCGATCTTGCATACTTATTGCTTCATACAATTGACTACGAAGAAATAATATCAAATTATTTTGATGTTTTGATCCTGTTGATAAAGATGATGAAGATATGGAACTATTTGGATGCATAACAATTGACATTGTCATAGAAGATAATGATGAGCAACAATCAGGATCAACAAAGGATAAAACATAACGTAATTTTTTCTTAGCATCCGTAAATGCTTTGCATGTGTCGAAATTAGATGAATCATAATAAGGCGATGTATCGACAGTATCATTTGTTAATTCATTCTGAAAAAAAAATTATCAGAAAGATAATAGTCTCTACCACCAACAGAGTGAGCTTAAATAAACAACTAAGACAGCGCTAATTCAAAAATCGAGCAAAATTTTTTTCTGCGATATTTATAAATGATTGGATAGAGTTCATCGAACTGATCAATAATATATGTGTATTACCTTTTAAAAAACTTTTTTAAAGGTGAAAAATTCAAAACACACTAGGATAGACCATAATTTTTTCTGATTCAGCATCAAAACCTGTGAATATAAATGATGTTCGAACGACAATAGTGTCAAAAATGGATTGAGCCTGGTTGAACTGAATGGTCCCTTTGAAACGACGCCGGGGCATTTGTATTTTTTCCATTGAGAGATGAAGCCTTTCTTTTAATATGGTTGTAATTGTCGAAATCTCAGCTTTAAAAGTATAACTCACTTCTTTTCAGATTTTGTTTCGTTGCCAGGAAAAGTCAATTTTTCTAAATTAATAACGATGCGCCATCCAATTTCAATTTCTTTGCAAAACTAGTGTGATATTTGGAATCACCATCAAAAAATGAGTCGAATGGATTCTTCGCGCTTCTACTCGACAACTTTGATTTTTTTCGAATTCGTCCATCGAAAATGAAACCAAGATTTTCACCGAAAAATGAGAGCTATCTAAAGATTTCGAGACAGACCTCATTCGGCTCATTTTTTGATGGTGATTCCGAATATCACATTAGTTTTGCAAAGAAAAAATTAGGTTTACAAAATGCTACAGGGTCATTTCACGGGGACCATCCAGTTTAATCAGGCTCAATCCACTTTTGACTCTATTGTCGTTCGAACGTTATTTTTATACACAGTTTCTGATGCTGAATCAGAAAAAAATAGTTTCAAAATTGTATAAAAAGAACCAAAATGAGTTCAGAACTTCAAGATATGATTAATTTTGTCTGTGAGACGTGATTATAAGCTCGAACAACTTGAAAATCATGCTTTTCCCGGCGGCTTTCGGGAAACCCTTTCGGAAAGTATGGATTCTCTAAATTCTTTTCTGTAGATTTATAAATAAAATATAAAATAGTCTAAATACTGTACATTCTGAAGTTTTGAACTTGTTCTGATATCTTCTCAGTAAATATTGAGTTTTTTTAATATTAGATGAAAACAGACGAAAAATCCTAGTTTTTGAAAAACGTAGCTTTCGTTAGTTTTTAAGATTTTTTTCTAGAAACAAATATGCCACAAGACTCAGTATGATTCATTACCTATAGTTCACCCATTTCCGAGGTTACCACTAGCCATGGAGTACCAGTCGTGGGACTCCAAGGAAATTCAATATCATACTCAAAAATCAAATCTTGACTCTCATCTTGTGGAGAACAGTCATGGCTAAAAAAGATCAGTTCAATCCTATTGGTCGTTTCTGAGACACAATTGGGTTTTCCGAAGTACTCATAGAAACCTACTTTGAAAAACCCTTCTGAAAAGATTTCTGCTTATGAAAACATACTCCTAAGTCTCCTCTTCCGAACAGTGAAAACGGTATGTCTCTATCTTATTTCTGTCAAAAGTTATTCAAAAACATCTAACGGTCTTATATTTTGAAATGTAGATAACATAAAAATATTTTTAATTCCTTACTGTAATTGTATCTCGTTTTTCCATTGTATAGAGATCATTATTTCCGTTTATTTTTACAGTTACTGGTGGGACAATGGCATTTGTTTGTTGTGATGTTTTATTTGTTGCATATTTCGATAGAATATCATCGGCCGTTACATTTCCGTCTGATTGTTGAGTTCGAATCATTTCTTCACGATCACGTGATTTAGAATTAAAACGACCACTAAACAAACGTAATTTAGTTGACAGATTAGATGAACGCGATTTTGCATGTGGTTTGGACGATGTCTAGAAGAAAATACAGATTAAAAATGTTATATCAGCGACAATAGCTTTTAGGAAACAAACATTTTAGGAAAGAAATCTTCACCGATGCTCGTCTACAAATCATAATCGTTCAGTTATTTTTGTTTGTCTGCTGTTCCAAACTTACTTGTTTCTCTCCTGTAGTTGACGTATAATTTGGCGTAGTTATTGGTGTTGTCACAGTTTCTTTTTTCTCTGTTGCGGGTGATAGTTGTGTTTGACCAGAAAATGGTGTGACGAGAGAAGACGATGATGAGGATGACATAGAATTTTCATAAGCTGGTATTTCAGAATTTATTGTTGACATTGTACTAGAGGGAACAACATTATTCTGACTCGGATCAAAAATCAGCAAATTATTCAGAGACTCTGATAATTTAAAATTTAACGGATTTTTTTGTTTATTTTCAATTTGTAGTGAAGATTTTAAAATTGTTCCGGATATAGCAGAGATATTGGACGATATTAACGATGTTTTTGCACTATCCAATATTCCACTGTCACTCATCTAAAAATAATGATACAATAAATGATCGATAAACAATAAGAACTATTCAACGTACAGATGAAATACTTTCTAACGATGATTTCATTAACATGATATCAACAGGATCCGCAATCGAATTCGTTCGACTAAAACAGAGAAGAGAATGCTCATACATCTTTGAGACATCATCTATCATATCAGCAATAATCATTAGTTTATTGAACGGTTGTATCTCATGAGATCCTGTCGTGCTATCGTTAATATACCGCTGTTCGATCAAATTTTGACTGAAACTGACTCCGCTCAGGATTACAGAATAAATGAATAGTTTAAATAAAAGAATAAGTAAAAATATTGTAAAAGTTACTGTATTACTCTGGCTTAACGATTGTTATTCGTTTTGTGCCATCTTCACTATGTGTTTCACTATCAGATGCAAATGCTTCCGTACTCCAACAATCACTTTGTTGATCAATCGATTTTACAGACTTAAATGACTACAAATCAGAAATAATGAGGGAATGAGCATATTTGAAATACTCAACTGACACACACACTTACTGTGCCATTGTTTTCTGGAAAAATTAATGTTTGAGATATTGGTAATTCTTCAATAATTTCATTTAAACGAGATATTTGCTCCTGAACGTCGCTATAATCACTGAGACCCGGTGTCAAACTCCAGTTATCACTCAAGACTGAACGAGTTTCATCAACTAAAATGTTGCATTAATTATCTTTTGTTGTTTAATATATGAGAGAGTCGTCTTCCTACCGTCGCTCTGTTGTAGTAAATCAAAATTATGAAATTTTTCTGTTACATCTTGTCTAAATGGTTTTTCTACAGTGGTTGGTATAGCTGTTAGTCCACATGGAATCGAGTTCTGTCGATTTGAATTATTTGTATTTTGAGAGTTGAACATTGTAATTGGACTAGTTGATAGTATATGATTGTTTGGATGATTACCACTAAGATTTGCTGAATTGTGATTTGTTTGAGAGTTGTGTTCTTGACGACGATGATCATTACTGTCCAAACTACGGTAAGACGATGGTGTATCACGACCGCTCAAATTTGGCGTAGCTAGAGGAAAATCGACGAAATTTTGATCGAGAATCGATTAACGGAATGGAAGTGTCTAATAGGAAATGTTTACAAAAATGAGTGACTTCTTACCTCTTCCACTGAACGACACATTATCGAAGATAGCATCTGTTTCCATTTCATTATGTGCTTTATCTAAATCGTCACCCGATGATGTTACGCTCAGGTTCTCTGTTGATGCAGCATCGACGGAGATCCCTTCAAGGCCTTCGAAATGGTCACTGATAGCGCCTAAAATCAGAAAGCGTCGTGAAAAATAAAGCAGCAAGAGGCCACAGTGACTCACCGACACTATTGTTGCCTTTTGAAAGAAATTTTCGACGTTTCTCCGAAGCTGTACCATACTCTAAATTGGAAGTGGAATTTTTTACCAATTTTCGTGCGTTTTCTTGCAAAACCTTGAACAAAGATACTCGTAAGACAAGAGAAAAGAACTGTTAAACTTTGATCTCCACTTGACTCATCATCTCGGAATTTTTCTCCATTTCAAACTATAGTGGAATGTGCTACTTTTTGAAGAATTTCAGATAGATAGCCGATGGAAATCTACGATGCTCGTCATTCCCTAGAGGAGACTTGGAGACATCTCGTGACCAAAAGAAAAGATCAAAAGTCTTTGTTGGATTTGCAGATTTTTTAGAATTCAAGATGGCAATATACCAGTATAGCTGTCTGTTCACATAAAGTATACTGTAAAACAAGGGAGTCAACCGTATTCTTCACATCATGGTTTGGACGTGGCATCGACTTGTTTGAGTCTCAGAGTTAGGGTGAAATTAGCTGTGAGAACCTCAAATACAACTAGAACATAGGTTATCGATCACGTTGAGTCTCATACCAATGTCTGCTTCGATTAAAAGATTCCAAAAACCTAGTGGAACTCTGCTGTATGTGAAATAACCCATCTCATGAGGGAACCATCCGAGATGGCAAATCACTTTTTGATCAAAATCTAGCGGATTATAGGTTATCGACCATGTTGATTCTGAATATGATCATGAAGATTCCTCATAGCCCTTCGAAGATCCGGTTTTCTGGAAAATCACTCTTTCAGAAACTCTAAAAAATAACCAAACCCTTTTTTGACGTGGCATGCTTGTAGCGCTCAAATTTCTGATTAAAATGAGACATTTTCCAGCTCTACACGATCTTTCTTTGCAAAGTTATACAATTTATAAGAAAAGCCCTAAGTTAATTTCTTATTTCTGTAGCTTTGACCTGATAATGAACATTTAGGGCTTTTCTTGTAAATTCTATAACTTTACAAAGAAAGGTCCTGTAGAGTTGGGAAATGTGTCATTTTAATCAGAAATTTGCGGGCTACAACTATACCTCATTAAGAAAAGTTTTGGTTATCTTTTAGAGTTTCTGGAAGAGTGATTCCAGAAAAGTGGATCTTCGAAGGGCTATGATGAATCTCCATAATCATATTCGGAATCAGCATGGTCGATAACTTATAACCCACTAGATTTCGATAAAAAAGTGATTTACCACCTCGGGTGGTTCCCTCGTCAGTCCATTTTCATGCAATACTTCATCATCCACACGATCAATATTCTATCTTTTTTATACGACACTTCTGGCTTTCCTATTCATATGACCAGAACTAAAATGGTATTTCGAGTTTTAGAAATCTGAACAGGCTTTCAAAGTCCTTCACAAACCCTACATTCAGTATTTTCTCCTTAAAACTGTTCAAAAAATCGCACACTCTATTATATTCTCCAATCGATAATGATACAAAGTTCATCTTTTTTTACTTTTTCTTCTGGCAACATTCCTGGACATTCCGTTTCATTGGAATCAACTGTGAATACAATCACATGTTCTGTTTGTAAAAATGTGGCTTGGGACAATGCAACATCGTGTTTACTGCTACTATTATCTAAATTTTAAAATAATTTGTCTCAAATAAATCTAACGACTATACTAATGAACTTACCTTTTGTTATTAATTTCGATTTATGTTTATGATGCTGCTGACTGTTGTAATGATTTTGTTGATCCGTTATGGCTGGTGGTGTAACTATTTGTTGTTCGTTATTTCCCTCTTGATTAACGATATATTCACTTTTAACACATTCTTCGAGAGGTGCTAAATCTTTCAAATAAGCGTCTAACTGTTGTTTTAATTCAGCATAATTAGCCAGATCCATTTCAGATGATGCGCGACGAAAAAACAATACCTGAATACACAACACACATAAGAATGGTTTCTCCTTCATAGAAATGAACTATCTTACTAATTGTTGAAGTTGTTTCTGTGTTATTAATAGTACCATTCTCGATACACTTTGTGGCGTAGATGATGTCGTCGCTGTGGCTGGACAAAATGGAAAAACAACATTGGCACTTGAATCAATTAAATTATCCAAAATATTTGAAACACAATTCTAGAATAAATTAGAAAAAGAAGTCAAACTTTAGAGGA